GAGGCGAGGGGCGCAGAGAGTAGAGGGAGGCCCGTCCTGACAGGGTCAGGTACGGGGGTGCCAGTGGTGGGTCCGGTGGCTGGGGAGGACATTTACTTTGGGATACGGCGTCCGCGATGGAGGGACCGGGCCCCCGCCCCTCCCGGAGACGTTCCTGTTCCCTCTTCTCTCCCAGGCAGCCCTCTTTCAGGGAAAGGCAGAGGGAGGCACAGCAGTGCAGCTCCCTCGTGCCCCCCCACCTCCTGCCAAGTCCTGGGCACCCAGCTAGCGCAGGCCGAGCCGGGCACAGGGCGGGCGTGCAGGACCGCTGGCCGGGTGCGGGTGTGCCGATGGCTGATGGGCGCTGGGACACGGGAAGCTGGGGCAGCGCCATGTGCAAGGGGGTGTATGTCCGTGACAGGGAATCTGACGGTTCCCCGTTGCGGCAGGCAGCAGAGGCTCCGGGGACTGATCGAGGAGGCAGCAGAGATTCTGTGCAGAGCTCCACACAAATGGCAAGCAGCAAGGAGCTACTGCAGCGTATGGTAGGTGCGGAGTGGCTCCCAAGGACGAGGGACGGGGTCTGAGCCCTCAAACCTCGGCCAGCTCGCGCACCCTAACACATATCCCTGCTGTGCCTTGGCCTGTAGGAGGAGCAGCGGGCTTCAAGGAGGCATAAGGTCACTTCTTGGCTGAGGTGAGTTTCCCGGGGGGCTTGGGGTGCTGGGGCTCTTCCGTAGGCAGTGGGATGCCCGTGCCAGTGGTCCGAGGGCATTAGGCAGCTTTGGACTTCTCTGGGATGAAAAGTTTCGGTATTTCTTTTCTTCCCAGCTTGGGGGGCGCATAGCGGGGGATTTTGGGGCCCACTGGGGAGACGTACAGTAGGGCTGAGAGAGATGCCCGTGCCCCTCACTCCAGTCCTGAGCAGGGAGTGTTGTGCCCAGCACGGTGAAGGTCCCACGGTGGTGTTCGGAAGAGGGTGGTTGGAAAGAGCTGAGACAAATTTGCCCCCTGCTCTGCCTGACCCCTCTCCTGTCCCCCAGGAGACTTCTTCTGTTCCTCGCCTTGCTGCAGTTTGCTGTCCTCATCCTGGTGCTGCTGAAGAGGGACATCCTTAACTGGGTCCTGCCACCAAAGCTGGCGGCCGCCTTTGGGAGCCGCCGTCCCGGGTCCCGGTTCTTTTGAAATAAAACGAGAAAGGGAATAAAGTGATTGCAGGACAAGCGCGTCACCTTGTCAATGAATGTCAGCTGACGGGTTCGAGGGAGGTGGCTGCTGCTTTCCCTTCTGCCTGCGCACACCCCACGACGTCTCTGCCTGAGACCTGGTTCTTGCCCGATTTGGAGGCAGGAGGGTGTATCCACCATCCTGCATAAACGGCTGCCCGTTTTAAGACAGGCGCAATGGAACTTAATCAACAATGACCTCACTTGTACAAGAGGGTTTGCTGTTAGAAAAAAAAAACAGACCAAAGTGGCTGAAAGTGGCAAAGTTGCACAAAATAGTGCAAATCCAGCTAACAAACATGCATTAAGCATGCTTGCTGGGCAAGACCTGCTTTCCCTTTGCC